TATCAATATTCAATTAAAAGAATTAAAACAATATGTTTATATTTTAAGAATACTACGAATAATTTTATTTCAAAAATCATAAAATTACTCACTCCTTTGAACAGTTCGCAAGGTGCAACTTCCGCTTTACAAAAATTAAGATATTGTTGCCAATCAAATTCTTTGTTGCCTGGATTATCTACTAATCCTGATAAAAAAAATATAATTTTTAATGAATAGCTTTGTTTCTTTTAATGAATAGCTTTCATAGAATTCTAAAATATACCTTTCGGGAAATGTATTTTAACACCGTGTTCTTTCCCCCAATTTACGGGAAATATAACTAAGGAATTAGCGTGACAGCATATAACCGCGGGGGATTGTTTTTTATCAGTATCTTTTCGATAGTCGTCGATTTCGACCAGAAAATAGTAATTGTTGAGTACTTTCGTAACTGTTGCGGGGCAGAGCTGTAATTTACTAGCAGGACTTACGGCTTCTAATTTCATTCCAGCTTTAAATGAATGAGTTTCTATAACTTCTTGAGGCTAATAAAGTAGGAAGTAATAATAAATTATTTCAATTCTTTATCAATATAATTTCGATGGTAATTTAGACGTAAAATAAACGTCATTAATAAAACATTTTGAAGCATATCTGTAAAGTTTTAAATTTCAAATTTACTTACAGCAAGCACTTGAGAAGGAAATTTTACTTTTTCAGATTCTTCTACAGATATTCGTAAAATATCTGTCCATTCTGCATCGGAGTATATATGCTTCAATTCTAAATGAAAAGATAAAGTATCTGTATTTGTTATTAGGCACAAAAATATTCATTTCTTAATTAATCATAGGTAAAGAAATAGTATGTTTTATCATTCTACATTCTAAGTATCAGATTTTTTCTCCAACTCTCTTCATAATTTTCCTCTGTCTTTTGCTCAGACAGGTTCTAGGAGGCTTCAATGAAAAACCATTGCTTTCGCACCATCCGACGGGAAAGATATCTTGAGAGTTCATTGGAAGTATGTGATTTGAGTGAAATATATCAATGCTGTCAAACTGAATCCATATAAGAGGATCCACGACTCTTGTAACTGTAGCTGCACATATCTAACAAATATACAAAATTTTAAAATACATAAATTTGGATAAATAAAACTGAATACATTTCAACAATAATTATATTTAAATAAATTGTACGTATCAAAGTTAATCAAAATTAATAAGTTTGAATTTATTACATAAAATTGTAATCTCTATAATAATTTAGGTTATGATCCATTTCTCTGAAAGTATTAAATTTCAATCTAATATATTTAAAAAGCATATTTGATGTATCAAAAATAAATGTAAATATTATAATTATAATTGTTTTCCCTATTTACAAAATTATATCAGAATGAATCTATAAAATATTACATACGCACATTTTTTAACACGTTAACCGCTATTCGACGGGCCGGTGGTCGTACTAATCAGGGCCGTTCAGAGCTGCATGACGTGCTGGCGGTTGTAGTTAGGCCGTTCAGAGCCATAAGACTGCCGGCGGTGAGAGGCCACCACTAGGATGTAAAACAATGTCTTACAAAGAGCCAGGATAATTTAACCTTTAGTGAAACTACTTGGTCATAGTGACGTCGGGCAGTCAGATGGCTCCGTACAGCCCTAATCAGTACAACCGCCGATGCATAAGATAGTGGTTAACGTGTTAAAGTTATATGTATACAGGGTGATGCAGACCATACACTACTTTTAAAATTAATGGATGTGAATTTCATCAAAAATCCTAAAAATTTTGATAAGTAAATTGGGTATACTCTATCAAATGGCAATATTTTCAACAAGACGAGAATAATATTTAATTTTATTTCCAGAATTAAGCTTTAATTCAGAGACATTTTTGTTCTTTTTTGAGATCATCATCAGCTGTGAAAATTATGAAGTGTGTTAGACAAGTACAATTGAAAGAGCTTTCAAATGTATTTGTTCTAACGCACTTGAATGTAGTAGGGGACACGTGACCCGGTCCCCAAATCTACTTTGAGCAGCACTCATCTCCTCAACATCCCAAATATACACTGTACATATTACTTATTTCAAAAAAAAAAAATAAATGAATATCTAAAAAGTAGTGGTAGTTTTATTTGAAATTAATTTTCTGAAATTTGTCGCTAAGTGAAAACAGAAATTATGTACGTCAATGACAGATATTGTATTCATTACAAGTTGACTGTTTTACTTGGATACAGCTGTTAAATATTAAGAAATAAATATCAGTACCTGATTAGTTTGGTATGGATTTACTGCTTCTAATTTCATTCCTGGTTCCAATCCTAAGTTGATAAATTTCTGTAAAATATAAATTTTATATTAATCAATAATCAAAATTTTCATAAATTTTTCATTAATAATAATATCAATATTCAATTAAAAGAATTAAAACAATATTTTTATATTTTAAGAATACTACGAATAATTTTATTTCAAAAATCATAAAATTACTCACTCCTTTGAACAGTTCACAAGGTGCAACTTCCGCTTTACAAAAATTAAGATATTGTTGCCAATCAAATTCTTTGTTGCCTGGATTATCTACTAATCCTGATAAAAAAAATATAATTTTTAATGAATAGCTTTGTTTCTTTTAATGAATAGCTTTCATAGAATTCTAAAATATACCTTTCGGGAAATGTATTTTAACACCGTGTTCTTTCCCCCAATTTACGGGAAATATAACTAAGGAATTAGCGTGACAGCATATAACCGCGGGGGATTGTTTTTTATCAGTATCTTTTCGATAGTCGTCGATTTCGACCAGAAAATAGTAATTGTTGAGTACTTTCGTAACTGTTGCGGGGCAGAGCTGTAATTTACTAGCAGGACTTACGGCTTCTAATTTCATTCCAGCTTTAAATGAATGAGTTTCTATAACTTCTTGAGGCTAATAAAGTAGGAAGTAATAATAAATTATTTCAATTCTTTATCAATATAATTTCGATGGTAATTTAGACGTAAAATAAACGTCATTAATAAAACATTTTGAAGCATATCTGTAAAGTTTTAAATTTCAAATTTACTTACAGCAAGCACTTGAGAAGGAAATTTTACTTTTTCAGATTCTTCTACAGATATTCGTAAAATATCTGTCCATTCTGCATCGGAGTATATATGCTTCAATTCTAAATGAAAAGATAAAGTATCTGTATTTGTTATTAGGCACAAAAATATTCATTTCTTAATTAATCATAGGTAAAGAAATAGTATGTTTTATCATTCTACATTCTAAGTATCAGATTTTTTAAAATTTAGTATAAGATATTAATTGTACAATTTCAAAAAATTAAAGAATATTTTTTATACATTTCATGGGTTTAAAATTACTATAATCATTAATATATAGATGATTTTGATCATTTATGAAACAGGAAAAAATTATTATACTGAAAATTTCTAGCTAAAATCAATTTAATTACATTAATTTAACGATTTCCAAATTTTTTTAACCTACAGATTCAGACAGAACCTACCGTAGACATGCTATCTGTCACAATTTACATTTATAAATTAAATTAATTTGGTGAATTTTGAAATATCTAGAAAAAAATTATTTGGAGCAGGATTTGAATCAACAGATTAACGTATCAGTGCAATTTTAGTCANGTAGACTGCTTATTGTAATCACTGAGGGACTCATCTAAACTAATAACACTAAGCAAAACAAGTAAATAAGACTAAAATTAGAGAAAATTCTGGTTTCATAGGCTAACATTAAAACAATTAAAAAATGTATAACTTGAAGACATTATCTGTATTATCTGTGATTATAATAAGTAGAGTCTACTGTATATGGAACAGTCTTAATACCTGCTTTTTATATAAATAAAAAAAATTTTTATTTCAGATATATTTAGTTAATTCTTTACCTTTAGGTGGTTGATACTGACATCCGTGATCGTGTCCCCAACCAACCAGATGAAGGCGATGAGATAAATAGAACAGCCAGAAATCATGAGATGTAACACCATCGTACCTCATTAATAATCTTCCACCAACATTCTCAATTATCTGTATATCAAATTAGAGTATTTTATTTTACAGATATTCCACAAAATATATCTTTTCATAAAAAATTAATATTAAGATATTACTGTTGCTATCCACACGTTATTTGGATCTAACTCTTCTTGAATTTCCACTTTCATTCCTTGTTTGATTTGTTCAATGGGTGTTATACCATTTTGTAACTGTAAAGACGAATTGTATTTCTTAATTAGTGAAACATTTTAATATTTTTTAATCTATATATTAATTTTAAGCTTACAACTGTGAAGTTATTATATAACTATAATTTCTACATATAACCTAAGAATGCTAACGAATATAAGTTTTCATAAATTACACAACAATATGAACTAAAAATTATTTTATTCAGTAATATATACGAATAAATTAAACTTTTACACACACAAAAAAGTAATCAAATAATTTCAATTATCTATTAATTCAATATAACTTTTCAATGTTATAATCATTAAGACTTAATTACATGAAATCAAAGAAATAGCAAGATGAATTAATTATTTATTTATGATTATAAAATCTTATATATTATTCCATGGTACGTAACAACTGTAGATAAATCCAAAAACAGAAAATGTTAAAATACTTAGGGAATTACTTTTTATTTTAAAGTGATTCCTTAAATGTTTATTAACATTTTTCTGTTTTTAATCTTATATGATTTTATTGCATACCAAAAACATTTTTGAACCATTTTATGTAGTTTAAAATGCCATAAAAATAATTTAAACTTCTATACAAATATAAGATCATATAAAACCAAACCCAAAAATACTTTATTACATACAATTTTAAATAACATTTAATTTTTTAAAAATTTTAAATTAACACTTTCTGGTTAAGATACGGAAATGACCTATGACCCAGAAATATACTCGTAATTTCTTTTAACCTTCGGTCTAAACATGTCTGCTTGTATTTCCTACAATGACTGTAAGTAGTATACTTCTACTTCCATCTATTGCAATTGTCGTCTGTATTTGACGGCCAGGATCCGTATCTGTGTTTTATTTGATTCTTAATAAAACAGGCTGGGCGCCCATGAGACCTTCCCTTTTCATCCCCTTTCCTATCTCGCTTTACTTTTTCCCTTCGCCTCTTCCCTTAATTACCTTTCCTCTACTCTTCTTCATACTCGGGGCAATACCAATGAGTAGTCCCGAGTCTTCATCCCCTTTATGCTAAATAATAATACCTCCATCTATTGACAAAATTTTAGGATTGAAATTTGAAATTGAAATCACAATTTTGCTACTTTTATTGAAATTTTTTCACAACAAAAAGGTTTTCCTACCATTTTTTTTGGTTGAAATTAAGCCTTATTACTATTATTACTAAATAATTTAATGTTTTGTTCTTTTAAAATGTACAGTACATACAAATAAGTAAATAAGTATAAAATTCAAATTATTGCAGATTAATTTAATACTATGCAAATTTGTATATTTACCAAAATGGCATATTATATATCAAATTAAATGGGAAAAAACTGATCTTTAACGTGGACTGGTCATAAAAACTGTAAATTTATTCATTTTCAAATGCACAAGATTTTAAAAAACGTTAACAAAGGTCAGTCCACAGAATCACGACACCTAAAACATCAGACCCGAAAGTGTTAATAAATATAAAAATGAATATATCCATCCATTTTTCTTTAAAAATATTACCAATTCTAATAAATTTTCAGGAACATTTTCATTTTGGATTGCTTCAGATTCAATTAAACTTTTCCAATCGGGACATTTTTCTTTTACGCCTGTTTTACACAAAATAAATT